CCTTTGGGCAGCACTGGGAGTGGGGAGGTCCTAGAAGGCATCTCCCAGGAGGTGACTAGAGACCCCAGCAAGGGAGAAAGGGAACTGGGCAAACAGGGACGGAAGAAGACACTCAGAACAAAAGATAGAGAGAAGCTAGCCTGTTGATTTCAGAACTGGAAGGATTTGGATAGAAGGGGCAGAGCCAGTGATAGGTGGATAGCGATGAGGTTGAGGAGGTGGGCAAGGGTTGGCTCATGCAGGTCTTACAGGTCACCGAGAGGAGCAGGATTTTTATCTGAAGAGGGTGGGGACTCATGCAGGGTTTGGAGCCAGGAGTGAGTTGTCTTGATTTGTCTTTTCAAACATGTGTCCCCACTGTAGGTACAGTGGAGCTGAGCTAGCAGTCAGGGTGCCAGGCGTGAAGCCAACTGCCACAGTCTAAGCAGATAAGGAAGCTGGCATTGGGGTTGTGGTGGCTCTGAAGGTGGCAATGAGATGTAGGCTTAGGTTGTCCTCCTCAGTTTCCAGGTTGGTTACAGAGTCTGGAGGAGATCAAAGTCGTCAGATGCCCAAGTCCTTCTGGGAGCCCCGCTCTTCCTCTGAACCCTCTAGAGACTTCCACTCCCGATACAATGTAGATGATGCTACATTGTGTGGCTTCCTCAATTACAAAGGAGAAAAGTTGCTGGAGTTTCTTGCACAAGACACCCTTTTTCTGAATATTTCCATCCCAGGTTGGTTGAATCCATAGATATGGAACTTGTGGCTGGTGGTGTGTGTGTGTGTGTGTGTGTGTGTGTGTGTGTGTGTAGCTAGTTGATTATCTCATCCACTGCGGCCTGAGCACCTTGGACAGTAAGGGCAGGGCAGAACCTTGGGATTCAGGAGGGTCTGGGTCAGCTTGCCAGGTGTGCACTGTGGGTCCAGGGCACCAGGTAGGTAAAAAACCGTGACTCTTTGTTACCGTGGCAACTGGGGGGCCAGTCCTGTAGGGAGGGGCTGCTGTGGGAAGGGATCTGGAGAGTAGAGAGAGGCCTCAGCAGAGGATGCTGGGAGGGCAAAGGCCCAGGAAACGGGGAAACATGATCTTTTCGGAGGAGGTTTTTGGGGTGTGCATGCTGGGGATGGAAACCCAGCACACTAAGCACAGACTCTTCTACTGATTTCTGCCCCGAGCAACCCAAGGGGATGGGCTATTTGGAGAAGATCCCTTGGTTAAAAAAAAAAAAATTGAAGGCCAGAAAAACATCAGGGCAGATCACAGAGATTACTTCCTTCAGCTGTGGAGTGAGCTGAGCAGGTACCAGAGTCCCTTTCCCCTGCCCGCTGAGCCCTAGCACCTCATTCACCCAGTCATGGCCCCACAATTCCTGACAGTTTTTTAGAGACTTTCTGTTGATGACAGTGAGACAAAGGAGGTGGTGGGGGCGGGTACCCTGAAACACTTTGTCCTTGGGACTGCAAGGTCCATGAGTCTCATCTGGGACTCAGGGGTGACAGAGCTGAAAAACATGACAGAATGCTGGTGCTCACAGAGCCAGTGGGCAGGGCTCACAGGTTCAAAGCTCAGGCCCTGGCCCTGCAGTGTCCAGGTCTCATGGGTTCAAAGCTCAGGCCCTGGCCCTGGAACGAGTGCTTGCTTGCCCAGTCCCCCCGCTGTGAGTCTGAACTCAAAGGAGGCTTCAGAGCTCTGTGCCTGCCGCAAGACTGACTGAGGGCAAGCCTTTTCCTCTTCGAGCTTTTGTTTTAAAAATTCGTGTGTGTGCTCGCTCAAGCACTGTAGCAAGCGTATAAAGGTCAGAGGAACTGTGGGAGTCGGTTCTTCCACAGCACAGGTTCCGGGGTTGGAATTCAGGCCATCAAGTATGTTAGAAAGGCTTCCTAATTCAACAAGTCATCTTGCTGGCCCCTCCAAGCCTTTTTCTTTCTTTCTTTCTTTCTCTCTCTCTCTCTCTCTCTCTCTCTCTCTCTCTCTCTCTCTCTCTTTCTTTCTTTTGTGTGTGTTTCATTTTGTTTTGAGACAGCCTCATAAAGCCCAGGCTGGCCTCGAAGCCATTACATACCCAAGCATGACCTTGATCCTGCTGACCCAGCCTCCCAAGTGCCTGTGGTTTACATGGTGCTGGGAATAGCAACCAGGACTTCTGCATGCTACATAAGCACCAATGGAGCTACCTCCCCAACCTGAGGCTCAAATTTCTCACTGTGCAAAAAGGATAGCAATGATACCGTGTGTGTCCCCCACCCCTTGGATGACTAGGGGTGAAGAGATACGAAAATCCATCAGTGCTGGCCAGTGTTGGCCATGCTATGCTTTCAAAAGATGCTGTCAACCAGGGCTTGCAGAGTGAGTCTTAATATTTGAACATTCGCTGTGTGCCAGGCTGAGTTCTGGGTGTCCAAGCCTCATCGCCTCTTTATGAGTGAGGGTTATTGTCAGTCCAATTGACAGACAGGGAAACTGAGTCTCTGGGATCTAATGTGCTGTAGTGAATTGCTAAGAGGAGACACAGTTGTCCAAGTTTGAAAACTATTCTTACTTTATCTTATGCCCTGCTGGCTAGTTGGTGAGTCAAACTTCAGAATTTTGGATGCAGTTGTCTTCGTGAACCCCAGTATCTATCTGTATGTACTGGGGGAACCCCCAACTATCCTGGACCATCCAGTTTAGCCTTCACCCTCTGCATGGGCTGTAGACAGAATATTCACAGTGGTTGTTCATTGGGAGGGAAGGGCACGGAGACATAGCCAGCCGGGCCAGTACTGGGCCCTCCTCTTGATTTGAGAGTCCAGCTGGGCACTATGTCCCATCCATAAACGTGCCCAAAATAGCTCACTGGGCCCTGCCAGGCAGGAGGACCAGGACGTCCTGTTCCCATCAGCTCTGGCCAGAGTGACCGTGTACTTGGCATTCCCAGTCTAGGCTGCTGGAAGGGAGGGCAGAGCTCACACTGCCCCAAGTCTGGCGGGAAGGAACTGGGCTCCCAGGCACCAGCAGCTGGACCTCTGAGCTTTCTGCTGTCTGGGCACATGGTTGTGACTGAGTCTAGAAGTCTCCAGGGAAGTAGAAAGCAAGACTCTGGAGTCAGACAGGTATGAGTTCAAATCCCAGTTTAGGCTGACATGGTGGACCTTATCTTTAATCCCAGCAGTTGGGAGACAGAGGCAGGCAGATCTCTGTGAGTTTGAGGCCAGCCTGGGCTACATAGCAAATTCCAGATCAAACAAGGATACATAATAAGAGTCTGTCTCAAAATAACAAACCAAAACCAAAACAAAGAAAAACTTAAAAAAAGCAAGCAAACAAAACCCCAAATCACACATGCATACACACACCCAAATAAGTGAAGAAAAATAAAGCCCAGCTTGGACATTCTCTAGCTGTGTGACTTTCAGAAGGTCGCTTCCCCTCTCTGAGCCTTGTTTTTCTCACCTCCCTGGAAAGTGGATAGATATTCCTAAATTGGCGGCTGTGAGTGGGTACCTACATATTCAAGAGACAACTGGAGATTTTGTGAGTTTTTGCTCCTCTCTGCCCACCCTGAAAAGGTGAGTCTGTCAGAGAAGCCAGGGACTCTAGCCCGCTGTTTGCAGGTGGATTCTACTGCCCAGGGGACATGAGCGGTGTTCTTGGGATGTGTGCAGTGAAGAAAGGCATGAACGAAAATGCCACTGTGCATTTGAAAAGAGAAATCCCAGACGGCCTACGTCAAGATGGGGAAGAAACTCAAGCAGGAGAGGGTAGGGGCAAAGGTCAGATAGTGAAGGACAGAGGGTCCTGAGAGCCCGCTCTGGGAGTGGCAGGCAGTCTGCAGCCCAGGAGCATGGCAGCACGTGTGGGGAAGTCCTATGAGCACAGATGCCCAGAGGGGTTGTGAGGGTGGACTGAGAGTCTGGGCTGCCCAGAGGATTCGCTCCTCTCCTCAGCTTGGGTCACATGTGCACATCCATTGTCCCAGGCTGTCCACCTTGCCCAGCCTTTCCTGATGGCCAGTCCTTCCTCGGCCTCTGCTTGGATGATCCCTCCTCAGGCGGTCTCCGTGCCTCTCCCCTGGCCCCCACCATCTTATAGTGTTCCTCGCTGGGTGTGCCTGCCTGCATCCTCTTCTGTCACTATGCTTTTGGGGGCAGGAGAGGCGGGGGTGCTCTTCTTCTTCTTTTTTTAATGTCATTTTTATGGTTACAAGGACCGGTGTTTTGCCTGCATGTGTGTCTAGGCACCATGTGCATGCCTCTGAAGACCAAAGAGGGTATTGGATTCCATAGAACTGGAGTTACAGAAGATTGTGAGCCACCTTGTATGTGTGCTGGGAATTGAACCCAGGTCCTCTGGAAGGGGGCCGGTCGTTCTTGGAGACTTGGGGTATGTGAGCCAAAGCCAGTCTCTGTCTTCAATGGAAAAGGCTGAGCCTGCAGACAGGCTAGCTTCACAAGGGCTGGGAATGGCTACACATCGCCCATCCTATGCCTTCTTCAGCTTTCTGCGGCTGGGGGCTTCCATCCACTGAGTACCAGCTTGCCAGTTGTTTGCTTCGGAGGCAGGGTCTCAAGCATTTCAGTCTGACCTGGGAGTCACTATGTAACCCAAGAAGACCCTCTGATCTCCCTGTGTCTACTTCTCAACATGTCACTGTGCCCCAGGAATAGGGCAATGGGGATGGAACCCAGGGCATTAGTTTTGCCAGGAAAGCGCTCTGCCAAAGGGGCCATGGAGGGATATTCCAGTTGTATTTTAATAAATAAGGCTTGCCTGAAGTTCAGAGAGTCAAACAGCTCCCCATCATCCTTACAGACCAGGCAGTGGTGACATGCACCTCTATTCCCAGTAGCCACAATAATTTGCCATAGAAACCTGGAGGTAGTGGTGCACGCCTTTAATTCCAGCACTAGAGGGGAATATAAAATGGAGGAGACAGCTCTCAATCACAGTCTCATTCTGAGATTCCTAGAAGCAGGATCGCCATTTCGGACTGAGGTAGAGACAAGAGTCAGTGACTGGCTGTTTTTGCTTTTCTGACCTTCAGGTTGAACCCCAGGCTCTGTCTCCGGATTTTTATTAACTGTGCTATAGACACTCTCCAGTCCAAGCTGGTCTTATTATGGCACTGATTCATGGGTGGAGAAACTGAGGCTGGGACTCACAGTGTACATAGTTCAGAAAGGACAGAGCTGGGAGAGTCCCCCACCCCCTCATACACCCTCAGAGACTCCCTGCTAAGTCCCTGCCTACAAGTCAATAGCCTGGGGGGAGCAGAGCACTCAGCCAGGTCCCAGGACTCCCACCCCAGTAGGTACATGAAGAAAGTGCCTTCTGCTCCCACTGAACTCTGCTCTGAATTTACCACCCTCTGGCCTGAACCAGGCGGCTTCCTGACCTCACATACTGCAGGGCCTTGGGCGCCCTCAGCACCAGCATCTTCCTGGGCTCCAGGCCCAGGCTTGTCTGACTCCCCTCCTGAAACGGCCCCGGGGCTCCCCATACTGTCAAGGAAGCACATGCCTACTATGCACCAGGCCTGATTAGCAAAGCCCTGTTTACCCCTGTTTACCCCTTACGAGATGCTAGGACAGTTGAGGAGACTGAGGGTGGTCAGAAGTCACAGGATAGAGCTGGTAGGGCTGGCACCAACAGGCCATAGTGATTCTGGGTTCAGAAACGGCTCCCTCTGGAACCTCTTACCGGGTGAGTTTCAAACTTACTCCTCACTTCAGAAGCCCCATGTCAGGGATTCCTGTGAGAATGGGTGCTCAGGGGCGCCTTTCCAAGTCCTGTGTGGCCTCTTTGGGTGGGCTTCCTGTGGAGAACATTTTTTCCCTCGTCTCCTGTCTTGGGTCTTTGCTGATAGGAAAAAAACAAAAAGCAAAAAGGCTATCAAAGACCCAGTTTAGGATTCCCAGATTCTGATCTGCTTGAAGCCTGGCTAGAAGGTGGATTTAACTGGCTCTTGTCAGAGCCCCCAGGGCCTGCAGGCCAGCAGGCAGGAGATATAGTCAGAGGAGGCCCGCAGGTACCCTTTCCCCCTCCTCTGACCAAAGCAGATCAAAGGTTAAGCAGCCACCTGCTCATACCACTCCTCTCTGCTCTCCTTCCTTTGCCCTCTAGAAAGCTCAACAGAGCCCTGGGTGGCGGAGTGTGTGTGGGGGGGTGCCCACTACAGAGGAGGCTGGCGGCACAAGCCCTCCCCCAAGTCCCTAGTCCCTAGTTCCTAGACATTATGTAGCTCCTCAATGGGCTGGAACCAGGTCAGGGAGCTACAGTGACCCAGTCCTCAGGGGAGTTACAGGTGGCAGAAAGTATTGGAAACAGACAGACTGTACAACCCTTAAAAGGCCCAACCTCAGTCACAGTCACCTTCGAGCTAAGGGACCCACTCTTATGGCCAGGATTTGGGCAAGTCGGAGTGGTAGATATTTCACGTTAAATCTCAGTGGGTTTTCTTTTGTTTACTGAGACAGGGTCTTAAGTAGCTCAGGCTGGTCTCCAACTCGATATACAGCCAGAGATGACTCTGAACTGTGGACTTTTCATCTTCCTGTGTCTTTTTCCTGCTGCACCCTCTCCTCCTACTCCAACTGGGATTTTGTTTTCAGTAAATGCAGAGGATGGATCTTTTCTTTCTTTCTTTCTTTCTTTCTTTCTTTTTTTTTTTTCTTTCTTTCTTTCTTTCTTTCTTTCTTTCTTTTTCTTTTCCCTTCCTTCCTTCCTTCCTTCCTTCCTTCCTTCCTTCCTTCCTTCCTTTCTTTCTTTCTTTCTTTCTTTCTTTCTTTCTTTCTTTCTTTCTTTCTGCTTTTCAAGACAGGGTTTTTCCTGTGTAACTCAGGCTGCCCTAAAACTTGCTTCGTAGACCATGCTAGCCTCGAACTCACAGAGTTCTGGCTGCCAAGTGCTGGGATTAAAGGTGTGCGGCACCACACCTGACTCTAGCTTTTTAAAAATGGCTTGCAATTCTAAGATGTTGGATCATGGGTGATGGATACTATCCCATCGCCAATGGGCCTTGTTCGGCCAGAGGCTCCTTGAGTCTCTCTGTGATCAGAATCCCTCCCCCACGCAGGAACCTGTTGTTCAAAGATAACCTGTCCCAGGCAGGGAGGTCTTGGCAGTCAGAAGCCACAGGGCAGACCAGGCTGAGAACCTAGAGGGTTCCGGGCTTGACCACACTGTGGGGAGCAGGGTGCCCACTTCCTGTACACCAGACCAGATAAAGCCAGACTGGCCTTCCTGCAGAGGCCCTGACCAGCTCTCAGTGTTCAACCATTCCAGAGACCCCAAGCGGTTGCCGGCTAACAAGCGAGGCAGAATTTACAAAGCTGATAGTTGTTTGTAAAGGACCATCCATCAAGGCTGGCTGGAGCCGACCTGGGGAGCTGGGTTCCCATTCCCCATGATCTCAAGCTCAAGGGTAACCACAAGTGACAAGTCCCAAGGTTTATTCAGATGACACCAGTGTAACAAGGAGAAGGCCGGTGAGGGATGGGTACTGCAGGGGCTTGGCATGTGGCTCAGTTTGTAGAACACTTGCCTAGCGTCTGAGAAGCCCTGGGTTCCATCCCCAGTACTGTATAAACCAGCCCGGTGACTCATACCTGTAAACACAGGCAGAGGGGTCAGGGGTTATCCTTAGCTACACAGCCAATTGAAGGCCACCCTGGGCTACGTAGTTCCCTGTCTCAAGTGAGGGTGGGGTAAGAGGGCTGGAGGACCTTGAGAAGGGCTTCTCTGCAAGTCAGTCTGGGGCTTATCTACCTCAGTTTCCCTTCTCTGTGGTGGTGTTTGGTGTGTGTGTGTGTGAACACAATCCTTATCTGATGTCACAGGTTTAGAGACTCAAACCACAGACATAAATAAGCTGTTCTTTGGAGGATGAGATAAGTGACCCTAGGCAGGGGTCACAGCAGGAATCAGGCCACTTAGTTCTGCAGAGGTGAAAGGGCCGGAGTCGTTCCCTGGTCCACAATTGTCAGCATCCTCATCCTCAGCCACTCTGACTGGGGCACACACACCACAGAGCACATCTCCAGACAGCAGGCATCGGGCACAGGGTGGGGCAGCCATAAGCCCCATCGGCACCCTGTCAGCACCCATGATGCTGTGGGAGGCGGCAGCCAGGAACCAGGAACCAGGGAAGGACCTGGCACCTTCTGCCTCTGTTTAACCTGAAAATCTTGTTTAGTTTTCCTGAGCTTTTTGAGACTGCCAGTCAAGTTCGAGCCCTCTCAGAGGTGGGAGTGTCAAGAGGCAAGCAAATCCTACTTCCTGCTTCTGGCCTATCCATCACATCGCCGTGGCAGCCAGAGGGATTCTGTGGGAACCTGTCAGGGCATGGTGTCCCTCAGGCTCCAAGCCACACCCCCAGCATGCCCTCCTCTGTCCCGTACACGTCTTTTCCAAGCCCTTTCTGCCTCAGAGCCTTTGCACTTTCTCCCATCTTACGTCATTGCAATGGTTCTTCCTCCTTCTAACCTTTGTGTGTGTTCATAGGGTGAGCACGTTCACGTGTGTGTTGGTGTGGATGCGCATGTACCATGGTATGTGTGTGATCAGGGGAGAGCCTCGGTGTCCATTCTCATCTTCCACCTCATTTGAGACGTGGTCTTTTGTTGTTTTTCAGGCTAACAGGCCTGAGAGTCTCTGGGGGAGGTTCTCCTGTCTCTGTCTCCTACCTTTCTGGAGGAGTTGTTGGGATTACAGGGGTGCACCACTGTGCCTGGCTCTGTATAAGTTCTTGGGATTCGAATTGGGATCCTCGGGCTTGCTCAGTGAATGCTTCTCCTTCTGAGCTGTCTCCCAGGGGCCAGCTCTGATTTCCAAGCAGCACAGTGGCCCTGTGCTAGAGGCCGTTGGCTCACCCTGCTTTGTTTCTCTGAAGCTCTTCTCCCACCACACTTTCAATATTTGTTTATTGTCTTTGAGCCCAATTCCCAGGGACTCGGGTTTCTCTGTACCCAGGTGCTACTTGGCACACGGTGTGAACACCGTCAAGCCTTACCATGTGGTGATGGATAGAGGCTCCATGAGGGGTCTGCTCGGCGGTGTTCATCACCAGGCTCGGGACAATGAGAATTGTGAAGTATCTCAGACTGGGGACTCAGAGCACCAACCAGCTTAGTGACAGTCACTGTAGCTTCTGAGAGCCGTCTCACACTGTGGGCAAGATACACAAGTGTCTCTCTGAGGGTGATTCCAGAAATGGATATGCAACCCTTGGGCCCTGGGTTTGGCTCATGAATAGTGCTTAGCCAAGGTCATTACTAATGACGGCAGTTGCATGAGGGGACTGTAAAGACCAGGGCACTTGGTGGCATCTGGTGTCTAGATCAGGCAATCCCTTAGATGAGTGTGCTCCTCATTGGGAACACAAGAGGAGACTGAGGCCTTGAGGGTCAGAGTAGGAAAAAGATTTGGGGTTTCAGATGGACCCCAGGTATAACTGATAGGCCACTGACCTCAGTAGAGTAGCTAGGGCGGGGCGTGCAGGTCTGAGTGCTAACAAGCCTAAGTGGGTACTGGCTAAGGTAGTCTGGAACCAAAGACTGAGAAAGATTAGGATGAGAAAGATTAGTGGGGGGCAAAACTCCAGGGATCCCACTTTGTGCAGAGAGAAGCCAGGTGCAGGAGATGCCATGGCAGGGCCAACAGATCTGCACCCAGGCTCTAAGGCCCCTCCCTTGAAGAAGGGGACAGTGTCACTCAGCCAATCAGCTGGCTCTTGACCTAGAGTCAGTGCAATGCCATGTTCCATCTCTCCTGCTTCTGCCCACCACACACAGATGTGCCCATGACCACAAGTCCTAAGAGAAAAATGAGATGCCCGCTGTATCCTGCCAGCTACTGGCCTCAGACTGGACGGTAGATAGAGGGACCAAGCCCCTTAGACCTGTGCTGGCTGCCAATCTGAGGCTAATTTCATTTTCAGGAGAGCCAAGGGCTCAGGGGTCTTAAGGCCACATCCTACAGCCAGAGATGACAGACACACATAGGAAGATGGATATAGGCTAGCGGCAAGGACACGGGGGAGTTGGGTAAACGGAGATTTGTCACATAGCGTGGCCTGCCTGTGATGGTCTAGCTCAGAACTGCACCTCGAAGGTGTGTTTAAAAGATATTGGCTCCTTGTTCAGGGACGGGACAGACAAAGGTCAGGACAGAAACCCATGAGGGAGGGTGGTGGGGCAGAAAAGAAAGATGAAGCATCTATAAGGCCTACATTGAGTTGCTCTCCCCGAGTTCTAGCCCTGCACCTGTGTGGCAAGTACAGGCCCACCAGCACACCTTTGATGTGGGATTCCCCTCTGTGTGCTGTGAATATGTTTATTACCATTGGTTAATAAAGAAGTTGCTTTGGCCTATGGCAGGGCAGAATATAGACAGGCTGGAAGAGATACAGAGAGAGAGTAGGCGGAGTCAAAGAGATGCCATGTAGCTGCTGGAGGATACAGACACCTCAACTTTGTGATACACAGATTTATAGAAATGGGTTAATTTAAGATGTAAGAGCTAGCTAGGAATATGCCTAAGCTACTGGCCAAACAATGTTGTGATGTAATATAGTTTCTGTGTGATTATTCGAGTCTGGACAGCCAGAAAGCAAACAAGCAGTCTCTGTCTATACACCTTCCTTTATCCCCCTTGGATTTGGGGGTGGTTGCATGGGTGCTCACTGCTGGGAGAGGCTAGGACCCAGGCAGGGCCAGGAAGGCTTCCTGATAAGAAGACAAGTGTAGCAGGCCCATTATTGCCCCTCACCTTCCTCCAACTTGCAACCAGGGTGGTAGCAGGGTAGGGAATGACTGAAGTGGAACCTGGGCCTTCCCCAGTGGCAGAAGCCACACAGCAGAACGACTGAGCCAGAGCTGGGACAGACGGAGTGACTGGAGGATCCACGTGGCTCTCCCTGGAGCTGGGGGCAGTCACACCCATGTTGTCAGCCAGGGTCTGTGTCCCCCACAGTTGACACCTGAAAGTTCTGGGCAGAGAGGTCTGTCCTTCATTACAAAGTCACCTTGAATCAGGTTTTTCAATCTAGGACTTGACAGATGCTAGCTAGAACAGTGGAGCGCTGTGGTGAGCCAGTCTCCAGAGACTGAATCAGCCAGGCTTGGGCTTGAGGGGCCATGGGGAGGTTCCCCTCCTTCTGTTTCGAGAAACACCTTAGGAGAGTCAAGCTGCTTTACTGTGGTCTGGGGGCTGGCTAAGGGGTCAGGGCTGGGTCTACTTTTGTTCCCTATGAGGGGTTCCTGACTCTCAGAGTTCTTAAGCATGTTTATCTGTCTAGAAGTTTCAGGGGGGGATGAAGTGGGACCCAGGGATGCTTGGCTCTGGGACCAGATGCTCTGTCTCCTCACTTGTAGGGGGGTAAGGTTATTTAAAAATCAAAGCTTTTCAAAAATTACATTAAGGTAAGCCAGTCCATCTGTCTGAGATACTACCTGGTGTCTGAGTTGTAGAAGAACAAGAGGAAGAAGGTGTCTGAATGAAATGGGCCCTCTCCTGCAGGCATCCAGCCAGTGACTTTAGACTGTTTGGAAGTCACTGAGCCCAAGGAGAGCATTGCCAGCCTTCCAAACGTGAGTGATGGACACAGGCTCAGAAAGGATTGAGCTGGAGCTGGTGTCCTCAGAGTGCTGGGGGCACAGAGAAGCTCTGGTAGGTACCTCTGCTCATCCTGCCGGCCCACAGCATGCTGCCAGGCCAGGGTCTTCCCACAGACGTCTGGGCATCATCAGAGGCTGCTTCCTCCACTCCAGGAGCACAAACATGTGTGTGCTCATGCGCGCCATTGTCTTTTCTATGCGGTGGCAAAGCACCATGGCCAAGGCAACTTATAAATTAGTTCATTACTTTAGCCTCAGGCAGAGTCTTAGGACAAGGGCAGGAAATGGCTACATTCTTTGCCAAGATATAATGAGAATGGTCTTCACAGCCCACATTGCTCTCAGCACTAGTGTCTCTCCGAGCTCCTACTAGGAGGGCCCATTAAACTCTGCTTAGATCATTCAACCACTTTCCCAGTTCAAAGTCCCAAAGTCTTCCACATTCTTCCCCAAAGCAACATGGTCAGGCCTGTCACAGCAATAGCCCACTCGTGGCACCAATTTCTATTACTTTTCTATTGCTGGTAAGAGATACTATGAGCAAAGAAACCTATAGAAGAAAGTTTATTTGGAACTGACGGTTTCAGAGGGTTAAAGTTCACACGGCAAAGCAAAGGCAGGGCAGCAGGAACAGCTGAGCGCTCACATCTTGATCTGAAAGCAGAAGGCAGAGCGTACACAAGGAATGATGTGAGTCTTTTGAAACCTCGAAGATAGCCTCCAGTGGCACACCTCCTCGAACAAGGCCACACCTTCTCTATCAAGGCCACACCTCCTCTAACAAGGCCATGCCTCTCAATCCTTCCCAAACAGTTCCACCAACTGGGGAGCAAGTATCCAAACACATGAGTTTCTGGAAGCCATTCTCACTCAAACCGCCATACCCAGGCACTCCCAGACACACTCAGACACATTCTGGGCACACCCAGGCACACTCAGGAGTAATCTGACTTTCCTTTGGGCCACCAGCCCACAAATAAGGACATGGAGACTTAATGTTAATTATGAAAGCTCGGCCTTAGCTTAGTCTTGTTCCACTAGCTCTTATAACTTAGAGTAACCCCTCCCTTTTTTTTTGAGACTGCGTTTCTCAGTGTAGCTTTGCAGCCTGTCCTGGAACGCCCTGTGCAGACCAGGCAAACTGACCCATTTGTATTACTCTGCGTCCTACCTTGTGGCATTACCTCTCTCCCGTTCTGGGTGTCCTATCCGTTCTACTTCTACTGGTGTGTCTCGCGCACCTAGATTCAGCTCCTTGTTCCTCTCTCTCTGCCCGTAAGTCCTGCCTAGGCCTCCTGTCTAACTATTGGTTGTTCCGTTCAGCTCTTTAGTAAATCAATCACAGCAATGTGTCTTCATACAGTGTCTAAATATCCCACACCTCCCAGGCACAGCCAGGCACAGCCAGGTACAGCCGGGCACACTCAGGCCCATCTGGACACATCCAAGTACACCCACACAAACCCAGGCGCAGACACAACTGCATCTCTCGTCTCTCGCTGTGTGTCTCTGCTTCCTCGGCCAATATTTCATCTTGGTCATACCAGACTGGTATAGAGACTGTCCTCAGCCTTCAGTGGCTATGAAGAATAGCATTGTCATTTAGCTTAAACCATAGGAAGGGGCCTGTTCTGGGGCCTCTGCCTGTGACTGATGTGTTACTGTGTCACAGAGTTCGGGTGAAAGCCCTAGTTCATTTAGATCCTTGACCCTCCTCCACCCTGCCCCACCCCAACCACCGCTGCATGCTTTCTCTTTTGCCATCATTTTAAAAAAAAATTTTGCCAATTTGCATTTTTCAAATATTTCTCCTGTGAACACGTTGTGTTTGTGTCATAACTGAGAGTGTTTGCTGGGCCAGCACTCAGGCTCTGGCCAAGTTAGATAAACAGCCTCACGCACAGCACAAGCAGAATGAAAACTTCCGCCTCCGCTGCCCAGGCCTGCTTGGCCAGGAGGCGTCATTTCTGGAAATCTGTGGGCTGAGGCCCAACCCCGGGCAGCAACCATGTGTCCTGGGGCACAGGGCCAGCGTCTGGCCAGAGGTTGGAGTTATCCCCCACTTCTCACATGAAGAACAAAGAGTGAGTGAAGGGAGGCGCTGGCCTGTCCCCCACGTTTCCCCCCTCTCTGTCCCAGCACTTCTAACTCAGGACCTTTGCACATTGCTCAATACTCCGATTCCTTTGCTTTCCAAGAGGCCCAGGAGTAGGCTCAGCCACTGAGGGGCCCGAGTGAAGAGTGAGCAGACTCAGGTGTCAGCTTGTCACCAAGGGATCAGAGAGCCAGCATCTCTCTACCGCTTCCTGTTGGCAGCCTCCGGCAATGTGCCGGGACCCTGATTCTTCTCACTGTCTGGGACTCAGGGTGGTGACTCTGCCACAGTTTTCACAGTTTTCTTTGCTGCCCTCATTTCAAAATCTTTTTGTCACCAGATTTCTGCAAGGGTAGGAACAAGGGCATGACCTCAAATACATCAGCACTCAGCCCTGGGCAAAGTCAGCGGGATGAATGAACGGATGGATGGCAGAGGCAGGCTTCACTTCCAACCTGGATTTCCCTTCTCCAAAGTCAGTCTCTGAGTCCACAAGCAAGAAAAGAGGGAGCTGGGTCGTCCTTACTTATGTTACAGCTTGTCAGGTGGGATCTCTGGGTCCCCAGGACAGGAGAGACACCCTTAGGGGCCTTCTAGGCAGGGAAGGCCCAGCCATCACCTCAGGGCCACTAGCTCCAGTCTCAGCACTTCCATGGAGTCCTCGACGGCCCCCCTCCTTGGTCTAATTTATTTTTAGCATGGAGCTGGGGCCGAGCCCTCTCCTTAGGAAAAGTCCTAAGGCTGAGGGAGGCATTTTGAAACAGGGTGGGAAACTAGGTCAGGCCAGAGCTGGCACTGCTCCAGACGATAAGGCTGGAGAGCCTAATAACGTGAGCGGCCGATCCGTGACATAACCGAGAGGAAACGGCAATTAAGGGGCGATTGTGCAAGCGGACGAGCCTCCTTCACAGCTCATAAAAGGGAGGAGGGAGAGACCGCCCTGTTCTCTGGGGCTGCACATGCAGCCTGTGGAGCTTGGACAGTGACAATCCCTTCACTCGGGTGGCATCCACCTCCTCCGATCCCTTCAGGATAGGGGGCCCTGGAGGGAACCTGAAGGTCGAGAAGCTCCCCCAGCCAGCCTGGTTCTGTTGGGGCTGTGTTGAGAGTTGCCAAGAAGCCAGACTCTTGGCGAGTGACTGGGACACAGCTGCAGGGTGACGCAAAGTGGCTTTTTATTAGCAGGTGAACTGAAGAGAACACCCCTGAGCCTCCTGCCTCACCCTCCTGCACCCCAGTTACTGTGGATCCTCAACTCCCCACTTTCGCATCCCTGGCCTTCCCAGTCACACTGTTTGCTTTATCTTCTACCTGGGTCTTGTTTCTTCCTGCATGACAAACCTGGGCTCACTGCAGGACTTTTGCGTTTGCTATGTACGGCCTTGGCTAGAGTGCTCCTTCCCTAGTGGACATTGGCTCCCTAATGTCTTCAGTCTTTGCTCAAATGTCAGTTTCACATTAAAACCATGGCTGGCCAATCCTCATGAGAACAAAGGCCTGCCTGGTGTTCCCAGCTCTCTCCTCTATCTTTGTCTGCCACATTTACCAACAGACAACGCCCTGCAAATGCTGGGGTCCCGCACAGCCCCTGTGGCATGTGAGCATCCTAGCAGATAAGTCGCTCGCTGTGGGCTGCAGCCTGGGCACTGAGCACGGTTGAGACTGTGAGGGTGCTCAGTAAGGCTGGTGAATCAGTGTGGGAATGAATGAATGCGTGAATGAATGAGTGAAAGAACGGGTGAGTGAATGGAGGGACAAGCAGATGACTGAACAGCTGTGTGGACGAGCTAGGGAGTAAGTGTGTGGATGAGTGTGTATATGTGTATGGATGAGTGTGTATAAGTGTATGAATGAGTGACTGACTGAATGAATGCATTAGTGAATGCGTGGATGCTGAGTGAGCAAGCGAAAAAGTGAACAGATGACCGAGAGATTGAATGCCTGGGTGAATATTGCTGTTGTCACTGACCGAATCAAGCCTCATCCGCCCCAGAACTGAGCCCTCTAAGAAGCTGATGGCAGGAGGGAAACAGGGTCACCAACCTGCCGGGGCGGTAAGGTGTTCGTGTCTGCCACCTGTGCTCCTCTAGGGTGTCTGCCCCTCCCACTTCCTGGGCCTTTCTGGATGGTATCATCACGTGGCTGCCTGTCCCGGTCACGCCTGTTCCAGAGTGGCTGCACACACAGACCCACAGGCAGGGATACAATGCCATCCTCACATGCTCCTGCTCCCTCCCAGGACTCCAGACCTGGCCTCACATTCACACACAATTAAACAAACACACCCAGCTTCTCCCGAATACGCCCCAGCAAATAAGACCTCATGTCCAAACATGTTGGCACACTCAACAATCCACACTGTGCCCTTGCCTGAACACACACACACACACACACACACACACACACACACACGTCCCGCATGCTCCCCAGCCACACCTCCTGAGATGTCTGCCCATCTTCTGCAGGGCCCTGTCCCCACAAGGGACCCTGAGCATCAGGAACAGGGCACCCCATCAGCACCCACCCTGACCCTGCTGCATCTTTGACCTGACCTCCGCGTTCGGCCAAGCTCATCACAGCGGTGCGTGATACCCACGTCATCCTTGACTGGGCTGCCGCAGGGCATGTCTGCTGGCGCTGTCCTGGGCACCTACCCACTTCCTCCCGTCGTGGGCGGCAGCCTTGCTGACATCAGCCAGCTTAGGGCCTGCCTGGCACCTCACAGAAAGGAAGGAAGCAATCTGTCCCTACCACAGGGAGCCAATGGGAGAGGTGACCCAGTCCCCTTGTTCACCTGGAGGGTGCAGGGCCTGGGAGGGACAGGCTCTCACAGGGTTTCGTGGAGCACTTTCATCTTCGACCATCAGGGGGATCCTAGCGTTTCTGACGAAGAGCACAGGACCTGGACCTGTGCTATTCTGAGCACCACAGATCTGTCACTTGATCCTCAGAACAGCCATCATCCCGTGTGACAACTGAGATTGGGTCAGAGTCCCCATGGCCCAGAACTCCTGCCCCCAGCCTGCCCTCTGTGCGGGCTTGTCTCCTGGTATTTGCACGGGGGTTCGTTTGTCGTGTACTGTGAGTCTCGGTATCCACAGCCCTCTAGTTCCATTTGTGTTGCTCAGGGGACACCAGAGCAGCCTTGCATCAGCCCCACTGGACAGAAGACTGAGGCCTGGTGACACTGGGACAGCTGGCAAGGAAGGGCAGCCATTTCCAACCCTGACTGGGGTTTGTCCCAATATTCCTTGGGCTTTAGATGCCAAGGCAGAAAGACACTGAGGCAGGTGGACAGGGGCCTGTGTGACACCAATTAAAGACTTTTGCTTTAATTTTTTTTTTTAGATTTTGTTTATTTTTTTCTCTCTCCTCTTCTCCTCTCTCTCTCTCTCTCTCTCTCTCTCTCTCTCTCTCTCTCTCTCTCTCTTCCCGAGATAGGGTTTCTCTGTGTATTCCTGGGTGTCCTGGAACTCACTGTGTAGAACAAACTGGCCTTGAACTCAGAGACCACCTGCCTCCACTTCCCGAGTGCTGGGATTAAAGTTGTGTGCCACCACCGCCAGACTAGATTTTGTTTAATTTTATTTCCGGCGTCTGGGTGTTTTGTTTGCATGTATGTCTGTGTATCACATGCATGCAGTGTTCAGAGACCAGAAGAAGCACTGGATCCCCAGGAACTAGAGTTACAGGTGGTTGTGAGCCACTTTGTGGGTGCTGGGACTGGAACCCAGGCCCTCTGCAAGGGCAACAAGTGCTCTTAAACACCGAGCCATCTCTCCAGCCCAAGCTTTTTGCTTTTTAAGAAAAGAGGAAAAGCAGGGCATGATGGTTCAGGTCTGTAATCCCAAATCAGGAGGATTAGGAGAGTTCTGGGCTAGCCTGGGCTATAGTGTGAGACCTGTCAGAAATAACAAAACAAAAAAAAAACTAAAGCCGAACTTAATGAATAAAGCAAATGTAAGTTTGTTCTGATGAATTCTCACTGAGAGCCAAGCGGGGAGGTGTCCTGAGGTGGCACCCCCAGCCAGTCCCAGCTGATAAGCACAGGTCAAGGCAGCATCGTCAGAAATCCCACTGTCAACTCCACAGGCCTGGGAGATTCTTTGGCACACCCTCAAGCCCTTTGTCCCCTGCTGGGGGCCACATGTAACACACAAGTAAAGGGGCCTCATACTTCTCCCTTATTTTCCCCTGGATTCTGAGCTCTGGACTACAATGGCTCCCTGGCTCACTGAGGACCTGCTGGGATCCATCACGACCACCACTGTGGTCACTTTAGGACTTTTGATCAGGGACACTATCCCCACATGGGCTGAGGAACTGTCAGCCCAGGGCAGCTGAATGAGAGACCCATAGACACAGTAGCCAAGGGACCCCAGGACCCCAGGGACAATGCTCACACAGGTAGGCCCTCAACTCGGAGCAACCACGCAAGAGCTTCAGCCTGCACCTAGTAGGCACATACTGAGTCCCTAGGACTTTCCACAGACTGATTAGTTCAGGCCTCTAATCACCTGGTATCATCTCCTTCCACAACTGGGGAAACCGAGGCACACAGGGGACAAGCTGCCTCATCAGGAGAGGCCAAAGCACAGCTTAGCCCAATGTTCTTGCACGGCAGCAGCTTCAGCTGCCCTCGACCACTGCCCACTCGGGACCCTCTCCTCTCCCACTCCACCCTGGCCTGGTGACTACAGGATCCGGCACCATCAACAGGCCAAGGCCAAGAGCAGGACTCTGCATCAGCCCTCAGATGGGGGTGGGGATACTGTGCACAAGCTGGGTGACTTGGATCAGTCACTTAGTCATTCTGAGTGTTCACTTTCTCGCCTGTAGGATCAAAGAGGGAGAATTTGCTGCACTATGCTGCCCTGCTCGTGTGGCCTTTGCACAAGCCAGCCCTCTGCATAGACCTCTCCCTGAGCAACCACCACCCTTCTCCAGGCCAGCCAGGCTTCACCCTTGGGGCTGCACCCAGAGGCTATCTGGAGTCCCCTTTACATTTCCAGGGCCTCCAAGGCTTGTCCCCTCCCCAAGTCACTCCCGAAATACCACACAGAGAATACAGGCAGGCAGCCTCACTCTCGTGTTGGCTTTCAGCTGGTCCTGCCATTCTCCTGAAGAAAGGTGGCCTCCCACACCCCTCATGGCACACCCAGTGGCCTATTCCTGGTCAGAGAGAGCAGAATATGTGTGTCAAATGTGTGATGGGAGCTGAAGAAGGGGCCATAGTAAGTATCTTAAGTCACTAGGTAAGGACATGAAAGCCAAAATCCTCCTTCCCTGTGGCCTGGGTGCAGGCCAGCACCCTGGGAATGGTAGGTGTCCCTGTCCATCTTCAGGGTAAGGTTCTCATATCTACCCCACCCCACCCCCCGCTCCGGAGCCAGGAGGTAGGAGGTATTGGTCAGGCAGGCTGTGGCCCCCAGCCAGCAGGAGGTGACTCACCAGCCCCATGATGACAGGTGACATCCCTCCTCTTCTCTGGGGAGGTAGGGGGGACTTTGGCCTGGAGATAAATGGAGCCGGCCTTCCACTTCTGGGAAGAAAACAGACAACAGGGACAGTGGCCAGGCCATCTCCCGGGGGGGGGGGGCATCTCATGTTCGTGCTGGAGGACAGGGACAGGGACCGAGGCTGCTTCATGAGGTCAACTGCACTGACCACAGCCTCCCTTCCCGGCTCAAGGCTTCTCTTCTGGGAGGTGGAGCCTTCCCTCCCAATCTACTGCTGAAGCTCTTTCACCTCTGGTTAGGGTATCTTCTGGGTACCCTCTGGCATGTGGACTTGGGTCAGAAGGGACAGGGACTCGTCAGTGCGTGAATTGAGAATGTTGTGTTAGGGAGGGTGCTGCCTGGGAAGTGGATTGTGTAATTCCTATTCTCTCTCTCTCTCTCTCTCTCTCTCTCTCTCTCTCTCCCTCCCTCCCTCCCTCCCTCCCTCCCTCCTTCCCTCCCCCTTTCTTCAGGGTTTCACTATGTAACCCTAGGGTCTGGTCTTGAACTCACAGAGATCTGCTTGTCTCTGCCTCCTGAATCCCGGGGTAAAAACTGTACACCAGCATGCCCAGCTTTCTACTGTATTTCCAAAAGTACTTACCCGTGTGGCTGAGGAGCTAGCTAAGCCGTTAAAGCATGTATTGCTCTCCCACAACCTAAATTCGGTTCCCAGCACTCACTAACATCACCGCCTTCTGTAACTCCAGCTCCAGGGGACCCAGCACCCTCTTCTGGCCTCCAGGGACACCTGCATTCAGGTGTCGCTCACAGACTCCAACAGGCACACATATATGCACACCTTACACAAATGCAAAAATAACAAATATATCAACAAAAAAAAACCTCTTTTGAAAAAGCCTTTAGCTGGATAGCCAATACTTGGATGCAACTCTGCTCTGGAGGGCCAGAGACATAGGAGCTTGTGTTTACCACATGGCAGAGACAGTGTTTGGCTACATGGAAAAAGGACCGGTCCCCAGAGGCTTGTACAAACATGCGCTCATCACTCTCAGGTCTGAGAGGCCTATGTATGTGTGAGGACAGGTCCCAGCTGGTGGACATGCTCAGGGCTGTCACCAATGAGACACTTGGTTGTGCCACTTCCAAGCTCGCCTGGAGGACCACTTCCCTGCTTGGTATGTGCCCCTCTCCTGGAAGGATTGCTGAACAAGACTAGTGTTCAGGGTGACATCCTCAGCAGGGACAGGGGGCTTCTGCAGAGCCCCACCTGGGGGCTTTCTGCTCTCATCTTACTGACTGCCTCGCATAATATCCTCCTCAAGGTTAGGGGATGCTGGGAAGGTGGTGGCTTCAACATCAGGGTCCCGTGCTGAGGGAGGGACAGTGGACTATACACTGGTGTCTGTTTGGGGCTCATCCCACATCACCTGGTTCTGCAGCTGGCCTTTAGTCTTCACCCCATGACAGGCATCTGGAGCCAGGCCACGTCACTAGGTCAACTTACCTCACGTCACAGTGGACTGCGCTGGGCTGTGCTAGCCTTTCCTCCCCGGCCCCTGTCAACAGGACAGTTATATTGCCCTGCCCCACCAGAATCTTGACTGTTGGCATCACAGCCCACGGAGCCTCTCGCACAGCTCCCTCCACAGCCTGGCGCTTTGCTGCTAAGTGAGTGTCGCCTCTTATGGGAGCCCCAGCACCTTTGCATCCTGGAGCAAGCCTCCCCCCACCTCCCATCATAATAAACCCTTTTCTTCCCTGGCTATGTGTGGCTTTGATCTCTCACGGGACTTTTAAAATGATGCAGCCACTGTGTTCCCTGAGTTATTTGTTTCCTTTTCTGGCTTTATTGCCCTTCTCTAATTTCAACAGAAATCCAAAACCTCAGCTTCATCGAAGCCTAACTTTCTATCTCGTAATCAGCCATTGGAGTCAATCCCCTCACTTCATGGGACTGTGGGCACCCAGAGGTCTCTCTGTGCTAGGCCTAGGAGCAGTCCCTTCCCTCATCACCATGGCCACAGATGTCTGTGGACAGCTGTAAACACACCCTAGGGGACAGAGTCACCCAGACTGAGGAGCTCTGATTGACAGATATGGACACCCAGGTTTCTATGGTCAAGTTCAAGATCATTCCTTTTCCTTGCTGTCTAGTATTTCCCTCGTTCTGAAAGCTAGCCTCGAATCCAAACCCCCCCCCCCACTCAACACAACTCTTAGCATGAGCTTAGAATGGCCTCATCTCTCTGAGCCTCGATTTTTCCAGCTGTGAAGTGGGAATGATGATTCTGACTGGGCAGTGAGTCAGGGGTTACGGGGAAGGGTGGGTGTGGCCAATGCAGGGAAGGATCCGTCCTGCGACCCTGTCTCTCCTGTCCATGCTGGCCTCTGAATCCAGGGGGAGGAGAGACAGGCAAGCCCTGTTGTCTCATTGCGACCCTCTGGGTGAAGAGCCTAGGGAGGAATGAGCTGGAGAGT